CTTTGGGTATATACCTAATAGTGTGATTGCAGGATCATATGGTAATTCTATTTTCAATTTTTTGAGGAATCTCTATGCTGTTTTCCATAATGGCTATACTAATTTACAATTTCACCAGCAGTATAAAAGGGTTCCCTTTTTTCCATATCCTCACCAACATTTTTCTTATCTTTTTAATAAAATCCATTTTAACTGGAGTGAGATGGTATCTCATTGTAGTTTTGATTTGCATTTCCCTGATAATTAATGATATTGAATATGTTTTCCCATACGTGTTGGCCATTCGTATGTCTTCTTTTGAAAAATGTCTATTAAAGTTTTTTGTCTATTTTAAAATTGGGTTAATTGTTTTCTTGGGGTTTCTTTGCTGCTTAGTTTTCTGTGTTCCCTATACATTATGGATAAGAAAACCTTATCAGATGTATAGTTTGCTAATATTTTCTCCCATTCTGTAGATTGTCTCTTCACTTTTGATTGTTTCCTCTGCTGTGCAAAGCTTTTTAGTTTGATATAATTTCATTTGCCTATTTTTGCTTTTGTTGCCTGCACATTTGAGGTCTTAGTTTAAAAGTCCTAGCCCATCCCAATATCATAAAACATTTCCTCTATGTTTTCTTCTAGTATTTTCATAGTTTCAGCTTAATATTTAAGTTTCTAATCAATTTTTGTTGATTTTTTTTATATGATGAGAGGTAGGGTTCTAGTCTCATTATTTTGCATGTGGCTATCCAATTTTCCCAACCTCATTTATTGAACAGGTTGTTTATTCCCGAATGTGTGTTCTTGGCATGTTTTTCAAAAATCAGCTGGCTGTAAGTATGTGAGATTTCTGGACTCTCTATTCTGTTCTATTGATCTATAGGTCTGTTTCTATGCCAGTGCCATGCTGTATGGGTTACTAGGGCTTTGTGGTGTATTTTGAAGTCAGGTAGTGTGATGCCTTCAGCTTCGTTCTTTTTATTCAGGGTTGTTTTGGCTATTTATTCAGGGTCTTTTGTGGTTCTACACAAATTTTAAGATTTTTTTTCTCATTCTGTGAAAAAATTCATTGGTATTTTGATAGGAAGTGCATTAAATCTGTGCACAGCTTCAAGTAGTATGGCCATTTTGACAATATTAATTCTTCCAGTCCATAGACATGATATCTTATCTTTCTATTTATTTTTGCCTTCTTAAATTTCTTTCATCAATGTTTTAAAGTTTTCAGTGCAGAGATTGTTCCCATCCCTGGTTAAGTTTACTCCTAGGTATCTTTTATTTTTGTAACTATTGTAAATGGAGTTGTTTTCTTGATTTCTTTTTTAGATAGTTTAATATCAGTGTACAGAAACACTACTGATTTTTGCATGTAGATTTTGTATCTGGCAACTTTACTGAATTCATCTATTAGTTCTAATAATTTTTGTTGGAGTCTTTGGCATATATATATATATATAAGATCATGTCATCTGCAAACAAGGTGAATTTGACTTCCTCCTTTCCAATTTGGATGCCTTTTGTTTCTTTCTCTTTCATAATTACTTGGCTAGAATTTCCAGCACTATGTTGAATAGGAGTGGTGAGAGTGGGCATCCTTGTCTTGTTCCTGTTCTCAGAGGAAAAGCGTTCAGATTTTACCCATCCTGTTGATGTGAGATGTGGGTTTGCCATACACAGCCTGAGCAAATCCCAGTGGGGGAGAAGAGGTGGTGGAGGCAAGGTGCATCTCTCCCTCTGGGGTACTGTGCTGGCTTCCATGCTCCACGGCTTGCTGTTCCCCTGTGTTCTCCAGTGCACCCTCAGGCACTCCAGGCAAAATATAGTTGTTTGTTTTTGTTTTGGTTGCTTTTTGTTAGGGAGATGAGTGCCAGGCAACTGTAGTGAGTCATCTTGCTCCACTTTGAGTTTTTCAGGAAGATGTTTCTGTGTTCTAAAGTACCATTACTTATATCAAAAGTCAATAAAAATTTTGCCACCGGTAAACATGAAAGTTCTTGTGACTATATTTTAGCATGAAAAGGTATCTTTTTGAAACAATGCCTCTTAAACCCTTTAAGCGTAGTGATCTACAGCTAAAAATCATCATCAATGTGTAAACACTTTTAGATAGAATGACTTAAATAAGAACATAGCAATGTAAAGGTGTCCCTCTGAAGTTTATTTGATGACACTTCTTTTTTCCTGAACATAATGTAATATTTACTTTCATATATAATTAGTGGAAGTGTAAAATTGATTTAATGGCTTTGGAAATTAGTTTGGTGGTATACAATATAGCTCAGTATAGGTATACCATATGATCACTAATTACACCCCTTGGTATATAAAAATATGTAATTTGTACATCAAAAGAAATGCACAAAAATTTTGATAGTAGTAACAATATACAATAACCCCAATAGTAGCAATACAACCCCAGGTTGAAAATAGCCCAAATATCTATCAACCAGTAGAATGAATAAATACATCATGAGAATGAGCAAACCACAGTTCCATGCAACAACATAAGTGACCCTCACAAACACAATGCTGAGTGAAAGAAGCGAGACACAAACAAGCACTTAAAATATGAATTCATATATTTGAAGTTCAAGCAGAATAATTTGACCTGTCTTAGAACTCTGGTATCCTAGTAGTTCTTTTAAAATGCCTTTGTTTCATGCTCTGTTTATTTTTGCTAGTTATTTCAATATTCTGTCTTGCTATTACAACCATTCTCATATTTGTGCAACTCTAGAGGGGTGCTCCCTTTTTGATTCAACCGACAAACTACAACTATTAAATAGATTCATTAGACCAGTTGAAACAGTGATCAAAGGAAAGAAAGTCTGAAGAAAGAGGTAACTAGCTCTTTACACAAGGCAATCACTACACTTTTACTCACAAAAAATTTCTCTTTGTTGTAATTTAGAATTTATTTTTTTCAAGTAGATACTTTGAAGTCCTGGCAATGCACACTGGTGAGAAAACAGCATTCATAAGTCATAAGATCTTGACACATTTACTCTCTACTTTTATAGGAGCCAGAACAAAGAGTTAGCACCAGATACACTGTTGCTGTCTCTTTGGAGATGGCTCCCTTCCCTCTAGCTGCCTCCCCAGTCACTATTTGCTTTTTTCTGACTTGTGGGAAATCCTGAACTCCACCCACATGGTGACCCTTTCAGTGCCACTGATCACTTGCTAAGGAGAAGGGCATAGATTCTTCACCCTTAAAAAGTGGAGATTTGCGACTTGACTAGATGGTCCAGCTTCCTACTTATTTAATAGCAGTGGCAACTGCCTGGATAATTTTTACTTAGAAACAGTCTCAAAGGTAAGGTTTTTGTCATGGCCCATTTACAGGGCAGAGGATGAACACAGAACACAAAACACAAACACAGAACACAAAGAAAAATGCGGACACATGTACAAATGGTTGAATCGAGTAATAATACACTGGGTCAGTTTTATTTTTATACTCTAAAAGATTAAAGCTACTTCCTTGTACGTAACCACCCAGGTGTGGTAGTGATAGCCATAAATTCCGGAATGCATAGCCTTAGGGAAGGAGATAGCCCCTGACTCAGAATTTCAAGGTGGTTGCTCTAGGCACTAGGCATAGATAAAGGACCAAGATTAGCAAGGATGGGCAAGGTAAGCCACGAGACATTTCTCATCCCCAGCTTCTCTTACGGTGACACCCTAAGATTTTCAGCTAACCCCCAGTGGCTGCGCCTGGCTTAGGTCACCCCTCCCTTGAGAGGTCTTACCCGTCATTGACTAACCAGCCATCTTATAGGGTGCATGCAGCAATCATAGGGTACAATATGTTTATTGTGTGGCCTCCAGACCACCAATGCTGTGGGGCGGGGTCGCTCTTGCTTACTTGCAACTCAGGTCCTTTGTTATGCCTCTAGGCAACACTCTTGCTTATCACAAGGACCTTGTCCGGAACATATTACTTTCAAACACTCTGGACAGAACAGGTACATTACTCACTAACTTTAATTCTTAAACTAGGAAAATATATGTCAGTCTCCTACAGTTTTGATGACCTTGAGCTTATGCTCTCACTTATCTCTTGATATTCTGTAATTAACTTTTACATCAACAATAACAACAAAAACTCTTTAAAGAGAGATTTATTTTGATGCCTTACTTTAAAATAATTTCCTCAAACATAATCACATTGAAATATTATATTTCTTTATTAGCTAAAAAGCAACATTTTAGAAAAGTGATGTTTCAAATTTCCAATTGGAAAAGACAAAATATGAACCACAGGCCAAGACTCTCTCACATTGGGGAATAAATGAGCAATTGAGAATAAATGTTCACCAAATGAAATAGCCACCAAATAAAGTCATGGTTTATTTTGAATAAATAATCACTACATATATACACTTGTGAGTTTTGAAGTTCTCTGTTAAAATCCCTATCTCATCAGTATGTGGCTTTATAGGTTGACCACACAAACCACAGGCTAAACTCAAAAGATATTAATTGCTAGTCTGGTTATGTGAAAACCACATTATTATTGGAATTTTAAAAAATGCTTTAAAATCTCAACGAGGAACCTGACTTGATGGCCAAATTCAGTTGTCCTGAGTAGTTACACTTTTGAGGTGAAATCTATTGCTAGAAGTAAGATCCATTGATAACAAAATCATTATCTAAAAATTTGTTTTAAAATCATGTGATTAAGCCATCTCATAATGTAGAAGCCTTAAAAATATTAGTTTTTGCTTCCAACTTCTCCACAATAGTTAATACCTATTATAATGGCACCACTAATGATTATTGTAAATATTTTTTGCTATATTTTAAATGTAGAATATTCAGAGTACAACTGCAAGGTTTTGATGTTCTGTTGTTAAATACTTAGAGGATGACCACATGTTGCCATTAGTAGCACAGAAGAAAAGCTCTTGAACTTAAAATAAAGCAGCTCCTATTCTAAGAAAAAAAGTGCTTTTGCTTGATTATATAACAAAGTGTTGCTCTCAATTATTATCAGTGATATCTTTTTTCCTTACCAGGTACCTAGACTTCAGTTTCAAGTTGTAAAGCTATCATACACGTTCCAACTCAGAACCTGGAACTCACACCAAGACTTCATGCCATGCTAATGTATGAAAGAGCCTACACAACTTGCTCTGAACATCTGAATTTCATATGATGGGAAAAAAACATCACCTAATGTTATCTCTACTTCTATCTTCAAGCTTATTTCTAAAGTGTCTTCCTGAAGGCAACTCCTTGGGCCTACCAATTACTAACTTTGGCTGAGTTGATGTTTTAGATGATGTTTCGTTCAATGAGAGACTGTATATACAATGGTGGTCCCATAAGACTATAATGAAGCTAAAAAATTTCTATTGCCTTGTGATGTTTTAGCCATTGAAATATCATAACACAACATAACTTTTCTATGTTTAGATACACAAATACCATTGTGTTACAACGGCCTACACTATTCAGTATAGTAACTTGCTATACAGGTTTTTTTTCTTTTATTTCATTATATTATGGGGGTACAGATTTTGTTAGGGTTACATATATTGCCCCTGCCACCCCTCCCCCCCCACTGTGCCAGAGCTTCAAGCTGCGATACAGGTTTGTAGCCTAGGAACAATGGGCTAAACCACATATTAATAGCTTAAGTATGTAGTAGGATATATCATCTCTGTTTGTGTAAGTGTATATGATTTTCAAAAAATGATGATATCACCTAACAATGCAATTTTTAGAACATCTTCTGTTACTAAGCAACATATGACTGTATTTCTTTTGGTAATCTCATCATTGCTCTACTATTTAACATAAGGGATTTGGGTCCAACCTACAAGAATTGTATCAACTCTTAGGTTAATATACCCTAATCTCATAATCTATCACCGTTTTGCCAATTTTTTGTTGATTGATAAATCAGATTAAGGGCTTATTCTCTATGCAGCCTCTATTATTTCTATATTATCCTTGCTAATCCCTAGCTTCATTTTAGCTCTGGAGCCAATCCTCTTTCTGGGCATAAAGAATGAAAGGTACTCTAAGGCTAACAATTCAGCATCAAGTTAGCCTATGCCCTTATTCTAGCATCTGCACTCTGTTTCACCTTCTTGTCTATAGCCCGCCTCCTTCCATGTAACTGGTCCCAGTTTCTGATTTTCTACCTAGCTGGCTGCCTCTGACTGAAACCATGCCCACTATCAGCACCCTCGTAGGGCCACGGTCCTCCCTGGCTTGCTCTACCAGGCTGCTGGGTGAAGCCTGCCTACTGGCATGAGCTGACAGCCTATGCCTGTCTCTGGCCACAGCCAGTCACAGACTCCTGAGGAAATGCTGTCCTTGCTTGCTGGACACTCCCCTGGACTCGGTGCTGGCTCAGTTCTGGCACAGCCTCCTTGGCCCAGACGTGCCTCTTCAGCTCCACATCTTTGCCGAAGGAGCTCTTATTCTGAAAACAGCATTTAGTAGCAATTGGTAAACAGGAGTTATAAATGTGCTACGTCTGCCTACAGATGCATTTATCTATTTTGTTTGGCTAGCACAGCATTTATACACAGTCTCTCTGTCTCTCTCTCTCTCTCTCTCTCCTCCTCCCTCCCTTCCCTCTTTTTATTCTTCCTTCCATTCTTCTTTATTTCAATTGGCAACCAAATTTAAAAATCAGAAAATTTCACATTAAAAAACCAAAAAAGCAAAAATGGATTTCCAGGCTGGCTTGAAGGTGGAGGCTGTAGCGCTGTTGGTCCCTGAGGCCACAGGCGGTACTCTGGACTCTCAGTTTGTAGGTGAGCTCTCTCCAGATGTGACAGCAGCCACCATAAGCCACTGTCCTCCTCCTCACACTGCAGCCAAATGTCCGGGAACCTCATCATCAAGTTTGTGATATGGTTTTCTTCATATGGAAGATTTAAATGAAAAAGATTTAAATATTACATGTAAGATTTAAGTTAATATATTATTTTATCCTCGTCTCTATTGAAAAAAGACCTATCTACATGTTAATAAATAAATAAAAGAAGAGAGCATATGTCTTAACGAAAGAGAAGACTATTCTTGAATGTTCGATGTCTCATATATTCCCAGTTAAATTCACACATTCATACTACCTGCTTGCTGTCTGTGGGCATTTACATTTTTAACTCATATATAATAGAGTGCTTTGGAGAAAAGGATGAGGATGACAAAATGATTCAAAAACAAGAAGAAATATTAAAAGTATTGGTATTGATATTTAGTTGGAAAAGATAAAATTCAGAGGGTCATAATAATCTTCATATGTCTGGTAAGCTGTTAAATAGAAGAGGAATGAATTTTTTCTGTGTGGTGTGGTTCCCAGGACTGATAAAGGAACAGTGTTGTAAGGGAGATGTATTTTGGGTATATTAAATAGCATGAAAAATCACAGGGTACAAGTTCTCCATTCCCAAACATGTACAAGCAGAGACTATAAAATACTTAGAGACTATAAAATACTTTTTATTTCTATCCCTAAATGTCTAATTTTTAACTAGTAGGAGATAGTCTATTAAGAGCAATGATTTTTTCCCTTCAGTTCTCTTTGAAGAGTACAGAGGATATGTAAGGGAAAATACAGAAAGAATGAAAGTAGGAACAATTTTGAACATTGGGTATTGTTTGGAGCCAGTGGAACACAAGGAAACCCTAATGATTTTGAAGGCATACTAGGCATTTTGGGTCTTATTAAACTCTGGGCACTGGAGATTGGGGAGAAATAAATAGGTAGACTCACTTATTAATGGTGTTCTGGTTCTTGGATTGGATAGTGAGTTTAAGAGCGTTTATTTTATTATTATGCTTTATATTTAAATAAATGTTATATATTTCTGGTGTATAAAATAACATAAAAACAAAATAAACATTTAAAACAAAATGTAACCTTTTTTGGAAGAAAAGTGTCAAAATGTTGTGGCTCAAGTGTTGCAAAAAATGAGATTCTGACTTAAATCTTCTAATTAAAAATAATTAAAATCTCTACTTAGATTATGATTATATTCTTGGTGAACAACTCAGGAGTGAATTAAGTCCTGTTTAATTTCTAGATAAATATCAAACTATCATTTTCTTTCCATCATCCTTGCCTCATTAGCTCTTGCCTGGACTATTTCAGTAGCTTCTGAAATGGCCCATTCTCTTCTTTTCAACTGCATCTGTCATACAGCTGCCAGAGTTAAAATCCATTTATATCATTCCCTGCCTCAAAACTTCAGTTGCTCAAAGCTCCTTGGCATCAGGTTTTGTGACTATCCCTTGGATTTTTTGCAGCCATCCCATGGGCAGTATAGTCCAGTTTACTAAACTAACTTACAGTGTCTCAAATACAGGGTGCTGCCTATTATCTTGGATTGACCTATTCCTTCTTCCTGGACCTTCCCCACTTCTCTACTGCTTACATCCACCCCACGCCTCACCTTCTCTCTCTCTGGCTTAATCTTCTCCACCATTAAGATTCAAATCAAGAAATAGTGAAGGTAAAGATCTGGGACTTTTCTTAGTGACTCCTCAATGCATAGCACAATGTCTAGGAAATGGAAGGTCTTCAATAAATAATTGGAAAGACAAAAAAAATTAGCATTCTTAATTTTGGTCTATTAGTTATATATAGTCTTTAAACAATTATATCAGTAAAGCAACAATGGATTTTTGTCATTTCTTCTGAGCCTCAAGATTGAGGGTAGTGAAATAATCTTCTCTTTTACCTTTATTAGGAAATATATAATCAAGACAATGGTCCACCTTGAGAAATGTTAGGTTATTTCCAGAGAAATGAGTAGTGAGTTCAACACTACTTGCAAAGCCTGGGAGCTTTCTGAACAGTTTCAGTGACAATTTTGATATGCAGGGAAACCAATTCACTATGATATGGAGAAGTGGAGAAAAATGATGGTAACCAACAACAAATAAAATTGAATTTGAAATTGTTAGAAGTCATGAAAGAACATGACTGGCATGAGCTTTTAAAGTTAAATTGAACAAACAAGAATATATAAAAATGGAATTAAAATTTTATTTCAGATGGTTAAAATACCCCTAGTCTGATTTCCTAAGCACAAACATCAGCATCTATTTAAGCAGTTTTCTTTTGCAGCCCTAAAAGGAATAAGGTAAATCTCTGTTTTTGAGGGTGCAATAAATTTAGAGAGATATGACTGAGTAAACATTAAACTACAGAATAGCATATATGCATATATAAAATACCCTCATTTACACTAAAAAAGAAGAGACTACACACATCCAAGTATATGTAGGTATGTAAATATAGGTATGTATACATATATACCTATATTCAAAGAATATTTCTGGAAAGATAGATTCACAATGGGTGACTGGGTAAAGGGCTCTATGTATCTAATATTGGAGAAAAATACACTTTTCAATGTTTACCCTTTTGTAGCGTGTGAATTTTAGCCACATGCAGCATAATAATTGGGTAGAAAAACCAAAACATGAACGAACAGAAGTAAACAAAACCAGAGATGATTGTGCAATTTAACTATTCATTTTATTTGTAAGAAAATTCCATGCTGCAGTTATCCTTGCCATCGAAACACGGTGTGTGTAGACAAATGGTGCCAACAAGAAACTACTGGGTTTTTTTTAATTAAAACCTTCAATCATAAGATCTTAAATAAATCAGTGTAGTAGTATCAACAATAATTAGTGATTTCAAGATGATTTGATGATTTTAGGAATAGCATTTTCAAGTGAAACTAAGGCTTTTCTCTCAAGAAATGAAGTAGGAACAGGGGTTCAACAGAGTAAATGTCTTCTATGTAAATAGGATGTTGCAGAAGTTCATGATAATAGATTACAATTGGGGGATGTCAATGGGATTCAGAATAACACTACATGTTCTTGACTGTTACCTGTCATTGTCAAAAAAATGACCCTGAAACCCTTTTGGGCCTTACCAAAATATATAACCTACATACTGTATTTCAATATCTAAGGATTTTTTTCTAAAATTACAACATTTATGACTTTTCAAGTGGAAACAAAAAAATAGAACAAATTAAATTGTTTAAACAATAAAATAAATCACCATGGACACTAGATAAAGTATAAGCTATGTGTCCCAGAGGGCACCCAGGCTGCCCGTAGTCACCCATGTCTATACATGCTAAGGAGTCAACTCCAAGTCTCACTAGGAGGAGGGAAAAATAAATTACAAGTAATCTTCACGATTATCTCAAGGATGGTTGAGATTTTAATGGAAGCAAAATTATTAAAATTTTCTGACTTTTGCCCTTGTCATGGTGTTGAGACTCTGAGTTCTTCTTATGTCTACCAAGAGGAATTTTGGTAAATTGGTAAATGACTAAAACAAGCTTTTACATGATAATCCTAGG